GAAGACACGGCCGGCGGGGGGCGGCTCAGAGCGAGTGCTGCGAGTTGTTAAATCATACGACACAACAGCAGGATTAGCATGCAAACAACAACGCTTCTTCCCATTGAGAGCCGTTTTCAGATCGACCAGCGAAATTAAATTTTAGGTGAGAGAGATTTTGTTTAAGAAATCGTCTCTGTTTCTTTCAAAGGAAGACTGTTGTGGTGCACGATATCTTAAAACACCTCCATTGCATCATCAGGGGCCACTTTCAACTTTAAAGGTTGCTAGGTTTTTTTTTTTCTTTGGGTGGTTATTATGTGGTTTATTGGTAATTGACCCTTGGCTTTTACTCGTCCAACATCAAAGAGTCACTAACATATTTATTTATTTATTGACATATATTTAAATTTATATGGTGACTTGAATGGACTTATATTTTTAATTTATATTTTTTGTGTCTGGGTGGTGCAACTTTCCTGATGTCATAATCAAGAAAAAAAATTGAATTATCGGAAATTATGAGATATCAGACCTTTTTATGATATGGCGAGGTCAATTCAACTCTGTGTTATTTTTGTATTATTTATATACAAATGCACATTTTATTGATATTTTGAATCATTTTTTTATTTTGATGTTGTAGTATTAGTTTTATTTTTAGAAATTGATTTATTTATTTACCAATTGGTAATTTCAGTGCTTAAATGCATTTCAGTTAGTTGCCAAGTTATTATACAATGACATTTATATAATTTTATTTTTAAATTTTAAAGAATCATAACTTTTGGAAATAATGTTATATACACTTACATTTGAATTCAAATTGTGAGAAAATTATATTTTATTTTTATTATAAAAAATTGGATAAACATTTTTTCAAAACCATTTGTAACCAACGTGAATACAGTGATTATTTTCTACTTTTTAAATGTGTTTTGATTTTGATTTCTTTTGGTTTGGTTTTTGCTTTTGTTTTGTTTGTGGATGTTTGTTTTGGTTTCTCTTTTGTGGTATTGGTTGGGGATTTGTTTGGTTTTTATTTTGTTTTTTTATGGGGTTTTTTTTTATTTAGTTTTGTGATATCGGTTTGTTTTTGTTTTATGGATTGTTTTGAATTTCATTGTTTTGGTTTTGTTTGGTTTGTCTTGGTTTTTGTCTTGTTTGTTGTTTTGGTTTAATTTGACTTGGTTTGTTTTCGGTTTAGGTTTGGTTTGTTTTCGGTTTGGTTTGGTTTTATGGTTTTTGTTTTGTACGTGGTTTTGGTTTGATTAGAATTGGTTTATTTTTTATTTATATTTATTTCTTTTTGGTTTTGATCTGTCTGTCTGTCTGTCTGTCTGTCTGTCTGTCTGTCTGTCTGTCTATCTATCTATCTATCTATCTATCTCTGTCTGTCTGTCTGTCTGTCTGTCTGTCTGTCTGTCTGTCTGTCTGTCTGTCTGTCTGTCTGTCTGTCTGTCTGTCTGTCTGTCTGTCTGTCTGTCTGTCTGTCTGTCTGTCTGTCTGTCTGTCTGTCTGTCTGTCTGTCTGTCTGTCTGTCTGTCTGTCTGTCTGTCTGTCTGTCTGTCTGTCTGTCTGTCTGTCTATCTATCTATCTATCTGCAGGTGAAATATAACTCTAATTGCACACTTTAATGTATCTTTTATGTCTGTTGAAGCAGTGGTCCTCAGCTGGTGGGTTGTGATACTAAATGCAAATAATAAAAGCAACCAGAATCTGTCATAGTCTGAACAGCACAGTAATTTGGTTTGTTGAAGCAAATGTTGACTGTGATGTTAAGGAGAGGCAGGAGTGTAGGTTGTTCCTGGTTTTCGGGGTGATATCAGAGTCTCACGGAGCCCATGGGATGCGTTATCTGCCGCTCACCAGCAATCACAGACATGTTCCTCTTCCATTACACGGTTTCAAACACAAGCGTGAAAGTCATAAAGTGTAATGGTGTTCTCTTGCAGGTACAATCACTCCCTCTTTTTGAGTCCACGCTTCATTAAGTCCCAGAGAGATCTGTGTGTGTGTGTGTGCCAGGCTCTGTGCCCATGACTGTGAGGTTGTCAGTCAGTGGTGGAGAGCAGATCTGTTTCCTCCGCAGATGTTTCCAGAGAGTCATGTTCTCCAGCGGGAGCTGAACTGCTCTCTTGGGTCCCGCGGCGTCTTGCTGCCCTTTGGGCGTCTGAGCTGAGTACCGGGTGTGTTTTATTGAGAGAGATGATGTGTGCCCGATCTGATCAGGCACTTGAGTGATTTTCTTTGCATTTGGTCCATTTGCAGTTTAACCTGTTATTGGATCGGCCCACAACTACACACTTTCAGAACCTTTCATTTAGACGATTTACACTAGAATTGCATGCAGTAGAACTGCTAATGATTATGATTTTCTCACCTGTTTTCTCAAGAAACCATTTCCCACATATTTTAAGTTTCTCTCCACTCTCCAGTCTTGTCATAGAAAGACATTAAAAAGACCATAAATAAAAAAAGAAGAAGAAACACTTTAATTCATTCAACAAAATAATACAAACTTGGTAACATTTAGAAAAGAGCACAAAACAAAAAGTTGAACAGTTTTAAATACTTTAAATATTAAATATATGTTAAATTGTATTTATTTTTATTGTATATTTCTAGTATTATATCTTACCATATCATATATCATATCGTATCGTATATCATATCATATATCATATATCATATCATATTACATTACATTACATATTTTATTATATTATATATTATATGAAACACATAAAACTAAAAAATTTAAAATATATTTTAAAATATTAAAATATATTGAATAGCATTAAATTTGAAATATTATGAAATATACATTATTTTAAATATGTATTTCTTTTTTTTTACTATTTGTATCCATATTATGTTATATTAAATTGATTCTATTATATTAATAATTAAACATTGTTAATTAATTTCAAACACTTTAATTTACTAAACAAAATAATACTTTGAACAAACTTGAAAATATTTTTTGGTATTTAGAAGAAAAAAACATTGACTATCTTTAAATATATTAACTATTATTAAATATATATTATATTATATAAACACCTAAAACTAAAAAGCTAAAATATATTTTAAAATATATTAGATAGCTTTAAATATGAAACATTATTAAATATATTTCATTTATTTTAACTATGTATTTCTTGTTTTTACTATTTATATATAACATATTATATTATATTTATTATTTTAATTACATTAAAAATTACATTAAAACACTAATTTAGTTAACATAATAATACTTTGAACAAACTTAAAAATATTTTTTAGTATTTAGAAAAAAACAATGAATAGCTTTTGAAGAGTGATAACTCTTATTTCCATGTCATGCTGTACAATAATCAGAAACAAGAACTTCTGCAGTTCATAGAAACAGAAAAAAGAGAGAAAGAATAAAAACTGTTGTGCTTGGTCTTTGGTCAGTTGTAACTAGAGCATGTGCTGTTCAGTGTTTGTTACGCTGTGTGTTTCTAATTGAAGCACATGTGTAACCGTGGCCTCTGCACATTTCCCGTGATCCTGTGCCTTTCCACTGATGCACGCGTCTCTCCACATTGAACCTGAAGGGAAATGTGAAGTGTACTTTTTTAATGTCATAGAGAAGACTCATTAAAGCAGGGGCATAACAATTCCTCCATTAATTTTCCAGCAACCAGTTTTTAATTAATAGTGCAGGCAGTATTAAATATGGAGTACACAAATTGCCTGTGGGCTTCGTAATTAATTCTAATGGAAGAAATTAAAAATTGGTGGGGTGGATTCAGATTATTCTGCTGTATGGCCGTGGTTTCAGGACCACTGGAGCGACTCTGTCAAAGAAATGATCTTGCCTGGACTTTCCAGAAATCTCCGTCCTTTCTCACGCCGATGGATGAACGTCCATCTGCCCAGAATGACCTTGGAATAGACTTGAAAGAATGTTTTTGTGCATTTTAAAATTCCATGAATCCCTAATTTAGCTTGATTTGTTTACTCAGCACTTGTTTTTTTGTTTTTGTTTTATGGTTGTGTTTGGTTTTATGGGTTTTGAATGGCTTTGTTTTGGTTTGGTTTGATTTTTGTTTTTATGGGTTTGGTTTCTTTTTGTTTTTTTGGGTTTTGTTTGTTTTTTGTTTTTATGGGTTTGTTTTGTTTTGTGGTTTTGTTCGGTTTTATGGGTTTTGGTTTGATTTTTGCTTTGTCTGTGGTTTTGAATCTGTGTATCATTCGATCATTAATGTTTTGATTTAATATTGAAAGTAGAAAAATGAGAAAACGGCTCCTTTTTCCAAAAAACGAATGATCGAATGATACACGGATTGTTTTGGTTTGTGTTTGTTATTTTTTGTTTTCGTCTTGTTTTATGTTTGTTTTGGATTTTATGGTTTTGTTTTTGTCTTGGTTTTTGTTTTGCTTGTGGTTTTGGTTTGTTTTTTTGTTTTGTTTTGGTTTGGTTTTATGGTTTTGGGGATTTTTGTTTTTTTTATGAGTTTTGTTTTTTTCATGGGTTTGTTTTGTTGTTTTGTTTGGTTTTATGAATTTTGGTTTGATTCGTTTTTGTTTTGTGGTTTTGGTTTGTGTTTTGTTTTTGTCTTGTTTCATGGTTTGTATTGGATTTTATGGTTTTGGTTTTGTCTTGGTTTGGCTTGGTTTTTGTCTTGTTTGTGGTTTGATTTGACTTGGTTTAGTTTTGGTTCGTTTTTGTTTTGTCGTGGTTTGTTTCGGTTTGGTTTTATGTTTTTTTTGTTTTATTTGTGGCTTTGGTTTGATTAGATTTGGTTTATTTTTGATTCATATTTTTTATTTTTGGTTGGGTTTGTTTTTGTTTTTTTTATGGCTCTGGTTTGGTTTTATGGATTTATTTTGGCTTTTATAGTTTGGGTTTGGTTTTATGTTTTTTGTTTTTGTTTTATGTTGTGGTGTTTGGTTTGTTTTATTTTTTTTGCCTTTGCTTTTTTGTTTTTGGCAAGAAAGTGTTATTTTCATTCAATCTATGTCTATTTTTTCTCTCTCTCTGAAGGCCGTTGCACATCCTGGTGTGTAATGCAGCGGTTTGCACACAGCCCTGGAATTTAACGGAGGACGGGCTGGAAACCGCCTTTCAGATCTGTCATCTTGGCCATTTCCACTTGGTTCAGCTCCTGCAGGACGTCCTGCGGCACTCCGCTCCGGCTCGGGTGGTGGTGGTTTCCTCAGAGTCTCACAGGTGAGACTTTAAATGATCTCCCATCATTCCCTCATTTCATCTCTCATGCATTCATGTAAAATCATCCATTTTCTCTCAGTTGTCGCTTCACCAACAGCCTCTGTCGCTCATGTCTCCAGATTGATTGATCTGATATATTTATCTGATATATTTATCTGATATTTATCTGATATATTTATCTGTCAGCACATGCTAAATGGACCATATTTACCAGCTAAACCTTGATATCCTGGTTGAAAAACGGGCCACTTCTGTTCTCAGATTCATCGCCGTGGAAAAAAGTGTGTATACTGTATGCAGTACAGATAGTATGCAAAAAAAGAGAGCTAATATTTGGGGCCTGCTGTTCCTGTAACGTGATTATTAAATGAAAGTGCTTTGAAGAACATTTTCGGCTCCGAGAGCGTGAGGGTCCATTAGATTAACAAGCCCCTTGTGTCAACGAGGGAACAAAATCTCAATTCGCTCTGGCCAACAGTAAAATCACTTACTTGTTATCGCAGTAACTCCTCCATTTAACTTTTACAGTTTATTTCCTTTCTTCTTTTTATTATCATTCTCTGCTACACCTGATAATTTTTGATCCCTACCTCATCTCATTAATATGTGGCCTTTTGAGCTCCCAGTCTGACCTCTGACCCAGGAAGAGATTATATTTCCCAAAGCCGCAAGAGCCGTTAAACCTTGACACGGCCGTGCGAGTGACGGAAAGCGGGAGGGAAAGAATGAGGGGTTGTGGAAATTGAGGGTGGAAGAATAAAATGGACCAGCGGGGACGTTTATCTGCGCTGTAGCACTGGGGCTTAAGTGACAGGACCGATAGGTGCTGGCATTTGCCTCCCGACTCCAAACAAGAGGACACTGATAGCGTGGACAGGAAACTCACCTCTGAAAACTCACACCAGATTCACGCCTTTATACTTCAGTCTCTTTAAAGCAGGATACTGCAGTCATTAAATACCAGCCTGACCTGACCTTTTCATACTTCTGCTCTGAAAATAGACTATTTCCACCCCAGAATGCCTCTGCTGGGAAGACCGTATGGATTATCCCGGCCGTGAGGTGATGACAAAGTCAACATGTGCAGAGGAATAGTGGGGATAGATATATAACAGCTCAACTGGGTAGTTCAGCCAAAAATACTATATAAAAAAAACAACATTCTGTCATTATTTACTTGCATCCATGTCATTCCAAACCTGATTTTCATTCTTCACTGGAACTTAAAAGGAGTTTTAAACAGTGTTCAGTGTCACACAGCACTTGAAATTGAATGCGGATTTAGTATATAGAAACAAATACATACATACATAAATATTTAGCATGAAGCTTTTTGTTTTCATTGTTGCAGTTACCAAAATTATCATTGTGTTTCCCCCTTTTGAATGCACCAACGTAGAATAGCCACATGAATATCCACGAATGATGTAATTTTTTCCCCTCCATAGTAAATAATGACTTAAATGTTCACCCGTTTCATCTGAATAGTCAGCTGGACCACTTAAAAATAAATAAACAAACAAACAAATAAATGAATGTATTTATATTTTATATTAAAATTGTTATTATTTTTATTTTTGTTTTAAATATCAAGAAAATTGTCTCATATTCAAACTTGCCATATTGCTAAAGGTTTAACATAATTGATGCCAAATGTTATTAGTTTTTATGTGTAAAGTTAGAATGTGTGCATACACAAATAACAACAAGGGAAATTATTTTGTGAATAATGGACCATTTTTAGATAAAAATGGACCACTGTTATAATACTTTTATTTATTTATTTATTGAGCTTGATAGACCCTGCAATTTCATTCTTTGGGGAAAAATGTGGTGATTTCATACTGAGTTTGGAAACAGAAGGGTGAATAATTGATATCGAAATGTACATTTTTTTGGTGAACTATTCCTTTAACTAGTTTCCCACTCTCACAGTTCACACCTTTAGTATTTGTACCGTTGCGATGCCCGCAGATGTTGTTGTTTACCCAAGCAGAGATGTAACGTGTCAAACAGCAACATGGGCCGCACTGAGCTCGTCATACAGTGAACGTGACGTTTTGATTGGTTGTTATGTAAAGTGTATAATTAAGAGGTAAATGTTGAATGCAATTGCGGACTCTGATCCGCACTAGGGGAGGGAACATTCATTTCACTGCAGTTTCTTGGGACTGTTTACACACACACAAGGACACATTGAGAAAATACATCTTGTGTTCAGGGGCCTTGTCAAACATCTGGCGATTAACAGCTTAGTCAGAGCCAATTAAAGAACATCATGTCGTAGCTTTGATTTGCATTAAGTCAGACCTGGCCTGCCAAAACTCATTTAGTTAATTTCTCCATTGTCTCACATTCTGGAGGTTATTCCAGCCTGTTAAACTGTGAGACTTTAGTTAGACTGTAGTCTGTGAGAAATCAGTTTTGTCCATTTGTTCACAATTGACTATTTACTGTCTTTAAAGCGATTGTTCATCCCAAAATGAAAGTTCTGTTATCATTTATTTACCTTCCAAGTTCCAAACCCTTACTTTCTTCTGTGAACACAAAAGTAGATTTTAAAGAGTGTTTAAACTAGACACCAAACTAGATGCCAAACAAGACACCAAAGACAAAAAAAACAAACACTAAACTAAACAAAAAACCAACACAAAAAAATTGACTCAAAACCAAACAAGATGCCTACAGAAAAAAAACACAAAAAGCAAAAAAAGCAAAACAACACAAATCAAAACAACACATAAAAACAACTAAAAGAAACACAAAACAAAGAGCAAAACACAAAACCAATAGAAAACAAAACGTATAAACCAACACAAAATAAAATGTAAAAGCTAACACAAAATAAAACAAAAACCAACACAAAACTGCAAAACACAACACCAACACAAAACAAAACATAAAACCAACACACAAAAACAAAACAATAAATAAATTAAAAAAAATAACAAACACCAACAAATAAATAAATAAAAATACAACACAAAACATAAAAACCAACACAAGACAAAACAAAACATAAAAACAAACACAAAACAAAACATAAAAACCAACACAAAACAACAACACAAAAAACCCCACAAAAATCACACAAAACCATAACTAATATAATAAGACACAAATTAAAACACAAAACAAACAAAAGAGACATTTCTCAAAATATCTTTGTGTCTTCAATTTTGATTTTAATATGAACTGCTCGTTGTTGTTTGTGAAGGTTCACAGATCTGGTGGACTCGTGTGGGAAGGTGGAGCTGAACCTGCTTTCACCTCCACCGAAGGAGTACTGGTCAATGCTAGCCTACAACCGTGCCAAACTCTGCAACATCCTCTTCTCCAGCGAGCTGCACCGCCGCATGTCGCCCCACGGCGTCACCTGTAATGCACTACATCCTGGGAACATGATGTACACCTCCATCCACCGCAGCTGGTGGCTCATGACCCTGCTCTTCACCTTCGCACGACCCTTTACCAAGTCTATGGTAAGAGCAAGAGATTTCCCTCTTTCACTTGATTTAGTGTGAAGGTTGAGTATGTTCATGAGTTTTGAGTCTTATGCTACTTTAGCATCATAACTGAAATGGCAACCGATTTTGAACTTACGTTCATAGACATCAACAACACGTCACACAGTTAACTGTCTTCATGTGAAGCATATGGTTCACTTGATATGCAACTTTGATGAGTCTGATGTTAGTATGTTACTATGCTAATGCTAAGCTAACACAACACTCTGAATTGTTGCTTACACAGTGCAATTTTTGAATTTAAAAACATGAGATGCAGTGCAGTGGAATCACAAAAGCTTTATGTGCACATTTTTTGAACGATATGTACGAGATGCAAGGCATTTGTCTAGAGCATGTTTACATCGAAAACAATGGAAAAGCAGCGCAGTAGAACGCAAAAACGTATTATTTTATGAATAGCCCCTAAGAAGCATAAAAATATGCTGGGTGTAATAGAACATTTCTATTTAAACATTTTTAATTTAAGTGTTTTTGATTATATTTTCTGGTATTGCATTAAATATATTATTATTAGGGATGCACCGATATAAAAATTTTGCCTGATACCGATAAACTTGTTTGTTTGTTTGTTTATTTATTTATGTTTTATTTAATGCTATGACCAATAGCCAAGAAATGGCTTTAAAAATGATATACTATTTTGTCTAAATAAATAAAAACTAAACTTAAAATAATAAACAAACAAACAAAAAAATAATAAAAATCCAGTTGTTTTAAATGTTGAAAGTTACATTTTACAGTACAGTATGAAAAATCGGTCAATTTTGGGGTTATTTATCAATGGTAAAGGTTATTGAGTTATTTGTGCTATTAAATAAATAAATCTAATATTGGCCGATAACCGATATGGTACCGATATACATATTGCGCATCTATAATTATTGAATATATTTAAACATTTAATATATTACTTATAATTCTCTCTACTTAATTTATTTCCACTTAGCTTGTCACAATGTTCTGGTATTCCTTTTCTGGATGAATACATGTGATGCTGCCTTACAACTTGGCCAAAGATAGGGGTGCTCCGATCAGGATTTTTGAGGCCGATCACAGAAAGCAGTATCTGCCGATACGATCACCGATACCGATCTTTTTAAAGCCTTGTTTTTTATAATTTTATTTATTTTTTACCACTGACAGAAACACTCAGCTCTACTGCCTTTTCTTTTGCATTTACATCTTTATTACAAGCAATCCTGTGGTTCATAAAAACATTGTTTTCCTACCTATTATTGCCTTGTTTATCTAAAAGTGCTATTTTCCTTTAAAACTAGCCAACAAGCCATGTGTGTTGACTGTGAAACACAGTAGACTTTAATTATATGTATTTATGGCGTAATACATTTTCGTTTTCATATTTACCGCAAACTATGCGCAGTCACTTTAATTCAGCGCGTGCAGCAAACTCAGTGTGGAAACAATCGCTGCACTGCTGCAGACACACCGCTCCTGGAACGCACTGCCTAACCGCAACCGTGTGCAGTGAACGCTTTAATCCGTTAACATGAGCGCGGAAAAAATACGCACCGCATACGCACTGCAAACGGAGTGTGTGTGAAGCGTTATGTGTGTGCGCTGCGAGTGTGCATGAGAGCGCGTGAGTGCTGAATGGTTTAAACACTGGCAAGAATTAAAAAGAAATGCAATTTATAAACTTTAGTGACGATGCAACACTGCCTCGATTGTGAAAGTGACAATTCCTGTGTTAACTGTGCAGGTCACTTATAGCCAGACGCGATTTGATTTGAAGCCATTTGCGCATTTTAAGAGAGAAAGAGAGAGAGTGTGCAGTGATTCACTCACGCTGTTTGTGAAATTGTCTCACAGAAAGTTTTAAAATTAGTTACTTTATAAGTTATTTAATGAAGAAATATGAACTGTACCTCACCTTCAGCATTATAATTATTTCACCCGTGCCGGACAGAGACTGAGACTGGGCCACTGCATGTCATGCCAAACCTCTCACGGCAGCGTCATCAGCTTGAGATCAGTTTATGAGATCAAACATCCCAAATTATTATCGATAATAATCCCCGATTATCAGCCGATAGTGATCGGTAGCCGATTAATCGGAACACCCCTAGCCAAAGATATCTTAAAGTGTAACTATGCTGCCTTTTGCATTGGCCTTCTCATTGGGAACCAGCTTGCTAGAGTGAAGAACAAAGCTATTGTGTTTTTTGTCATTCACCTATATGATTGTTTTCCTCATTTCAAGTGACTTTTTTCAGGTACAGTGGTTGGTGCTTGAATTTTTGTAGTCCAAGAAAGTTTCACTAGCATGTTTTTGGGTTCTTTAGCAGGAATCGCCTGTAGTTAGCGTGAGTGAGTGAGTGTGTGTGTGTGTGTGTGTGTGTGTGTGTGGCGCCGCATAAATCAGGCGGGCAGCTCTTCCTGTAGGCAACACTCTCCCGTTTTAGCCCGAAGAGGTGAGTCACATACACTTACAGAGACAATCTATAAAATTCAACATCCTCATAAATCATAAAGTATCTGCCTGTCTCGCACCTGAAGCATTTCCTTCCGCTTCTGATATGCTTTAGGCCACACAATGCATTTGATGTATTCTTTGTTTTAATTTTGGTTGAAAACTCTGAAGGCAGGTTTTGAGTATTTCAGCTGAGCTGATTATGTATTAAAGAGATGGGTATGAATATGTCAGAAGTTTATGCGCGCGGCCCAGTCGTAACTCAAAACCGCTCATTTCTCCAGCTGTCAGTCATGTTTGATAGACGTCGGTGTGGATCAAGGCTTTTCACTGCATGGAAAGTCTGCTGCTGTTTCTGAACCGGGATTTGTTCATTTGAGGGATTTTTTTTTTTTGAAGATGGTATCGTTTTAATTGCTTGCAGTCTCATATGGGATGCTGGGAAATTGTTCAAGGTTGCAAAGCTCTGCAGAATGTTGACAGGAAGAGCCTGGAACGATATTACACCCAAGCTCAGGAAAACACCTTTGTCTTCTCCAAGAAGCTGTAGGTGATTTATAACTGCGCAAATCTAGAATAAAACCTCTTATTTTGCTGTTTTATTGCATCTGAGTGGGACACTTCCATTTAGTTTAATGCATAGATGCATCACAATAATAATTAATTAATCGATTTATTATCATTGTTATTTGTTTAACTCATTGAGATTAAAACAAAATAACAATAAGATGGCAGATGCCATTTTAAAATGCAGAGGATGTTGCAGTGTAATTCATAAAACCGAATATCATCATCTCATCTTGTAATGTGTAGATAATTTTCAGTTTTGCTGAGTTGATAAAAATTAATTGGGAAAGAGGCAGGACTGATATCTGACTGTAACTCTCATGACTGTTTTCATCTATAATCGGTACATCAGATATGTTCTGCCATGCATCTCTCTTGCTCTCTTTGTGGCCTGCAGTTGTACATTAGGCCCATGCTGATCTCCAGATGTGTTTAGCTTCGATAAGAGTGGAGTCATTTTCTCTTCATAATAATCAAGTGGTCTCTTGTGCTGAGCAGAATGACGGTACTGATCTATCCTGGCATACAGACGTCCTGTCAGCGAGAAGCAGGGATAAAATGGATCATTGCATTGACTAAACTCACCACTGAGGATTTTAATGTACAATTTAGGATACAATTTATAACCAACCAAATTTGTCAAATCTGCCAGCAGTGTTGCGGAGTAACTAGTTACATGTAACGGAATTATGTAATTTAATTACAAAATAAATGTAACTAATGTGTTACAGTTACTGAGAAAAAATGTGTAATTACATTTTGTGGTGATTGTGCTTTCAAATTAAATTATTATAATTTTAATTTAAGTGATTTTGAAAGTCTGACAGTAATCAGTGTTGATGATTTACAGTTGAAAAGCAGTAAAAATGATTAACAGTTGAATACATTCACTAGAAATTTAGAAAAGTAATCAAAAAGGAAATCCAATGTAATTAGTTACATTGCTTTAATAAAACAATTGAAATAGTTACAGTACTTATTACATTTTAAATAGGGTAACCTGTAATCTGTAACCTATTCCATTTCCAAAGTAACCTTCTAAACACTCTGCCATTGGAATCATTTTGATGAGAAAGTAATTTGCAACTAAAATATACTGTATTGTAGTAGCATTGAATTTAATACAATGACTTACTAAAATAGGTTTAGAAACAACAAAACACTGCAATTGACGTTACTTGCTCAGAAATCCAAATCCAAAAATTCCCCAATTACTAATTTCCGTAAACAAATGTTGTTACTTTTCCAAGAAATTTTGTTTTTATTAGATCTCTAATGCTTTATGTGCGTTAGACATTTTTGCTCAATGTCAAAAAAAGGTCATTTTTGATACTTCCTATGTGGTTTTATGTGAAGTACTGTAGGTCCCCGAAGCCTCTGTAACCTTTTCATTTGTGTAGTCAAACAGCTGTTTTAGCATGTTTGGTTTGACATTTCTTAGACGGCTGGGTATTGTGGCATCTAATAGCTGCTTGATGCTTTGGGACATGAAGCTGCCGGGAAAATCACAGCCACCCAATCAGCACCCCACCTTCCCCCGCTTCATTGGGATCCAGTCCGGCGCGTTTTCAGCAGTTTAGCTCAATTATTTTCCCCAGGATTCTGCCTCAGGTGCTCCGCTACCTTTTTACATATGCAGGGCCTGAACTTTTGACCATGGCCCAATAGTCATACATTAGTCGACGGTTTGCTCTAAAAGGGGGACTTTAACAAGTTCCTCTGTGCTTTGGCAAGTGTCTCGCCTCTCGCCTGTGAGATAATTTAGCCAGCCTGCTGCGAGACTGCTGCCAGTGCTTCCTTATGGGAGTCTAAATCTCTCTCGCTCTCGGTCCCCTTGTAAGCCGAGCGAAAGGAGGAGATGCTGCTGATGGATCTTTCCTCACACTCGGCTAACGAGGACTCTGCTTCCATTAGTACACTACAGAGGCATTACCCATTCTCTCTTTCTCTTCTC